CTCTAAAAATATTTATGTGTTTATTGTTCCCATTGATAGCTCCCATAATAAAATTAAAGCCAAGAAATTAAAATAATTATTGGTTCATTTAAAAACTATAATAAATCCATTGTATAACATGTTTGTATTAGAATAACTTTTTACTGAAACAAAGAATATTTAGTAAGAAGAGTGGCATTGTTTTGATACATTTTTACAGAGTTTTGATGTCTGGCTTAATGTAAGTCAGCTAAATTCTCTTAATCTGTCATGATACAGACAAATTATACACATGTAAGTATATATATATGCCTATGCATGGATAAGTTAGTGTGTTATTCCTTTTCTTTTGTGTGTGTGTTGTTGAAGCATGTGAAGGAAAACATACGGCCTCAGATATGTAATTAGTAAATGGAGTAGTACTTTTATACCCTTTTCAGATTATCATTATTATTATTATTATTATTAGTATCATTATCATTATTATTTTGGATTTTTGAGACAGTCTCACTATGTAGTAGAGACTGACCTGGAACTCACAATGTAGCCCAGGCTGGTCTCGACCTCACAGCGATCCTCCTGCCTCAGCCTCCCAAATGCTGGGATTACAGGCGTGTGCCACCACGCCTGGCCCCATTGATGTGTCTTGAATGAATGATTCTTTTACCCATGTTTGAACTTATCGCATCATAAATTGGTCATTAGGAAAACAGTGATTCAGTGAGTTATGCAGATCTTGTAAATGTTATATATTTTAAAATATAATAAAGATTACAGTTGTTAACATCATGGATCAATCAGGGTGTGTGTGATTGTGTGTGTGTGTGTGTGTGTTTGTGTGTTGGGCTAGAACTCAGGGCTTTGTGCTTGTTAGGTAAGCTCTTCTATACCACTAAGCTAAATCCCTAACCCCAAACATTCTTGAAATACTGGGAAGCTGGGAGTTACAATTTTTGTTCAAAAGCCCAGCTTTTTTTTGTGTGTTGTGTGTGGTTCTGGGATTGAATTTAGGACCTTGTGCTTGTGAAGCAGGCAGAGTGCCACTGAGCTAAATCTCTGGCCCTGAAAGCTGAGATTTTATTATTGGTAACATCTATCATTTCCTTGTATGTTGAGCCCATCTTGATTATTCACAAAAATTTTTGCCATAGTATCTGATTACTCAGTTTATCCTTTGCTTTCTGAAGTAATGATGTTCTGGGAAAAAGGTGACTAGTTCAGCTTGCAGTTCACTTGCACCAATGTTGTCTCCCACGTGTCATATGAGTGGACAGCAGAAGTGTTTTATACACATGAAGAATGTTGAGAAGATAATCTACTCATTGATGAAGTTGGCATTTTTTAGAAAAAGTATGGTGGGGAAGAAAATAGTGAAAAGTACAATTTATACCTTGATTTGTGCTGTCAATTCTTACCCAGCATGTCTTTGGACCATCAGTACAAATGTCAATTCAGTGTTAAAGGGGAATAATGTCCTAGTATTTTATTAAAATGGGGGTTGACCTGTATATTTTCTGAAAATGTCTCAGGTACCCTCAGAATTTTGTAAACCATACTTTGAGAATTGCTGTTCATTAAGAGCTTTATCAGACTGGAAAGCTAGTTTGCTATCAGAGACTTTTATTAAAAGACTTAGCAGACAACTTGAGACTCAGATTGATCAAAGATAGGACAATTAACTATTAAAACCTGGAGTGGATAACACATAGAAAATATGTTTATGAATTTCCATTGTTATAAAAAACTAAAATACTGTACTTCATTCTTCACCGTGGAGGATGTCAGGGAATGAATTTATTCTTTAGAAACTGGTAAATACAAGTAAATTAAAAATTCCGCCCCTCATGGGCGTGTGTGCCTGTCATCCCAGCATTTGGGAAGCTGACGTGGGAAGATAGTGAGTTCAAGGCCAGCCTGAGAGCTGGAGTGAGACGCTGCCTCAGAAAACCACACGTAAACAAAATCATCGCCTTTGCTTTTACTTAACGAAATCTACTTACGTATAATTAAATATGGAAAGAAATCTTGATGAAATTATTTATAATTTTCTTCATGGAATCACTGTAGTTAATAAATGAAGCGGGAATGGGGTGGTGAACTTCTTACTGTTTTGCAGCCTTTAGTGGCGTATGACCGGACAAACAGTAGCCAGGTACTGTTGGTGTCTTCAGATCCAGCTGTCACTCTGAAGAAAACATACAGGTTGCAGAAACATGTTAATGATACCAAGGGTTTGTGATGCAGATTCCAGAATGTGGGAAGCTATATTGTATTTAAGCTTTTTCAACAAGTAGAGTGTGAGGGAAAAAAATGCTCAAAAGCCTATAGATTAAGACAAAAGCAATATATAGACCTTGTTTAGGTTCTGACTCATGTAAATCTCATAGTTCAAGAAAATGAGAGAATTTATGAAACATGGCTACTAATTTATGAAATATTACATTTTGATAGTTTTTGCTATAATTGTAGTATTAACAATACACATTTTAAGGGGTCCTTATGTATTTAGAAAATAGAAATCATTTTTTCTGAGGAAACAATTTCTGACATTTGCTTTGAAATTAGCCAGTGGGATGTATGTGCTTGCAGGTGGTATGTATGAAATAAAGTTATTCATGAATTGTATAATTTGTGATAGTTCATTATATTCTTTTTATTTTTAGAAATTCCCATTGTTAAAAGTTTTTGCTATTCTAATGTGTGAGGCCTATGGTTCAATCAGAAAATTGATGAGCTAGCTAGTGTCCTAAGTAATGATTGTATAGAATAAGACATGAAAGATCTCTTTCATGCGTTTGATATAATTTCAGTAGTGAGAAATTGTAAGAATATATTTTACTCTTGGAAGTAGAGGGCTTGTGGAAGGTGGACCTATAATTTGGGTTACAAACTGAAATGAGGGGAGAAAGCCATATGAAAAATTTTGAAAATGTCCTCTGTGTTGAGGGGACAGCAAATTTAAAGACCCAGAAGCCCAGTTAATACTTTCTGTGTTCATGGAACTGGTAGAAGACCAGTATGGCTGCATCTTTGTGAGGGAAGAAAATGTTATAAAGAATAACATCTGAGAAGTAGACAGGAGTCAGAAGAGATGGGGCTTGCTAGGCAGTAAAGATGTTACTTGAAGTCTGATAGGAAGCCCCTGAAAGAGTTTTAGTTGAATAGCTACTTGATTACATTAGTGGTTCCATAAATCTACATGTGATGTAATGGCATTCACCTATCAATGTCTTATTTTTTAGATTTTTATACTATTCTATAGTTATATAAGGTATGGGCCGGGGATTTAGTTCAGTGGTGCCACGCCTGCCTGGCAAGCACAAGGTCCTTAGTTCAATCCCCAGTACTGTAAAAAAAATAAAAATTAAATTAAAATGTGGCCATGGGGAAAACTGAGTAAAGGCTCAATGAAGGACCACTCTTCTCATTTTGTACCTCCCTCTGAATCCATTATATTTTAGAATAAAAAAGGGAAATCACTGTTTTGAGTTATGATTATTTCTCATCAAAAGGAAAGCAGACTAGGAGATGATTTGAGAAATGATGATTGCTTGATCTTGGGTAGTAATAGGTATACTAGTAATAATGCAGAGAAAAGTGAATGGATCCGAGATGTTTTAGAGATGGAGCTTGTACTGGGCTGGAGTATGGGAAAGGGAGACTAGGCAGATTTTTATTTTGAGCAACCATTTTTGATAGTTTCATTAAGTTTAGGAAGTAAGATTGGAAGAGGAACAGGCTGGGAGGGGGAAACAGAAGAATTTTTATGTTGGGCGTATTAGGTTGGATAAGTTATCATAGATTGAAACTGTAGTTGAAAGTAGGAGCTAAGTAGCATATATGAAAATTACAGTTGAGGGATTAGATGAGATCTTTCATTGCAAAAGTAGAGAGTGAGGAGAGGCAGGCCAGCACAGTGTTTGGGGAGAAGACTTCAGCGTCTAGAGGTGTGGCAGGAGATCTAAGAGAAGTGGTGATAAGAAAATCGGCAGAGTGTGGAGTTAAATCCCAAAGAACGAAATGACAGAAAATTGGGCTGCCTGGCCTTGAAGGAGCTCAGGTTCTGAATACAAGGACAGAAGTGAGGTTTTTGGAAGACCTGACGGTGCAGAAGGCACACAGGCAGTTTGAAAAATGAACAATATATGAGGGAATGTAGAGTGCAAGTGTAGACATTGTTTTCAAGGAATAGCAGAGAATGGGTGGAAGATTAGATCATATTTGTGTGCTGATAGATGTGATCCGATTGAAAGGGAAGATCGATGATAAATCAGAGACATAATGAGTTGAATGTCAAGTGTAAGCATAGAGAGATTGTTCTGTGAATCTCAGCGTAAAGAGCAGAAGTGAACATTGTTTTGGGAGTGAGAAAACATCACTCTTTGGCTCAAAAGCTCCCCAACCCATTCACTGTAAAAGCCAAAGTCTTTTCCTAGATTCTGAGGGATCCTCAGTTGTCTTGTGCTCTCTGCCATGTCCACACTCATTCCGACATTGCCTATGACTACTACCCTCCTTGAAGTCAGGCCTGGCCGTGGGACTACCTCCTTGTTTGTGGGATGTGGCAGATGTGCTCCTGCCCTGGGGTCTCGGTGGTTGTGACTCATTCTTTCTGCTGGAATCTGCATGGCTGATTCCTACTTCTTATTTCTATCAGGGCTGTCCTTAAATGACACCCTCTCAATGAGAGCTCCCCAGACTGTTCTAGTTGTACCCTTCTGAAGGGATTTTGAAGGTTATGAAGAGAGCAAAGAAAGTGTGAAACGTCTCGGAGAGTGAAAGGTCAGGTTGTGTTGTAAAATTACTGGACTATTTGTGGGATCGAATGCACATTTGTGATTTGTAGTTTTCTGAAAGTAGCTTCTTAAATAAAAATTTTAGCGATATTATCTTACAAAGGAGAGTAAGGAAATGTTATATGTATAAGTACTTTAATGTTTTTAGGAGAGCAGTGATCTTTATAGTATTAAATTTACAATTGGTATGAAATGTTCCCTAATGTAAAATAACATTCTTTTTAGTGTTACCAATAATTCTCGGATTGCGGGACTTTTGGCTCAGCTGGAGAAGATCAACACTGAATCTGTGGAATCAGATACTGCTAGACATGTTACATCAAAAATTCTTCATCTGGTTCAAAGCCAAGGTAAGCTTTAATCTCTCTTTGTTTTTGAAATGCATTTTTGATTGAACTGAGAACATTTGCACTGAGCTACATTCCCAGTCCTTTCTCTATTTCTGCCTCTACTTTTGTCTGTTTCCCTCTCTCCTGTTCTTTTCTGTCCTTCCTGCCCTGACCTATCCTATCTTATTCTGGTACTTGAATTGAACTCAGGGCCTTTACACTGAGGTACATACATCTCCAGCACCCGCATACCCTTAAAAAAAACAGGGCCTTCCTAAGTGGCCCAGGCTGGGCTAGAACTTTTGATTCTCCTGTCTCAGTCTCCCAGAGGCTGGGATTATACATGTGTGCCACCATGTTGAGCTTCTTTTTCTTTTATTTCAAGATATGGTTTCACTAAGTCACTAAGTTGCCCAGGCTGGGCTTGAATTTTTAACCCTCCTGCCTCAGCCCTCTCAAAGTGGTGGGATTAAAGGCTTGTGCTACTATACCCAGCTAGGTAATCTATTTTTATCTGTTCCCGTTATTGTATTCTGCTTATCCCAACCTGGAAGCACCTACTCCAGTGTCACCACTGAACATATGCTTCTGACCATACTGCTGTCACACTGCCCCTCTTCCTACCCTGCCACCTCCTACAAGGGTGGTCACCCTAAGTAGTATTCCGTGAGGTTGTACGATGCAGTGATTCTGTTTATAGTTTCTTGGAGTAGCAAGCCAACACACTAGATGTAGTGAAAGATTGTCCCATCACTTGAGGTGTCATCTAATTGCCTGTCGAAATGGGAGAGGTTAGAAATTTATAGTTCAAAGAAAAAGAACTGCAAATAACCAGTACGCATGTGAAAATTTCTTTAAAATTCAGGAGCTAATAATCCAAACAACAAAGACACGTTAGATTGGCAGAAATTAGGGAGAATTATAATATCTGGTGCTGTTGAAAGGCATGGGAACTAGTATATTTTCAATATACTATTTGGAGTACAATATTTATTACAAACTTCAGAGAAAATAATGTGGCAGTGCTTGTGCAAATTTAGTGTGCTTAGTGGGAGGAGGCCAACACCCAGGGAGAGAAGGTAAGCCCTGGAGAATTGGCAGGTCCAGAGAGAAATGAAGGACCAGGCAAGCAGCACCATCCTCGACCAAAACCCACCACTATTGTGATCTACAGAACAGTGGGATTTTACTTTGAAAGTGATTTTACTCCTTCGTGACAGGCTTGAGCTGGAGTTGAGATCCACTGCAGTGTCTGCAGTATTGCCAGAGTGTTTAATCAGGTGCCATTTTGGGAAGGAGCTGATGAAGACGGAGCCACAAGGACGGGGGATTTACCTCAGTGGTTCCACCGCCTGCCTTGCAAGTGCAAGATCCCACGTTCCATCCCCGATACCAAAAGACAAAGAAAAAAAAAATACTGAGCCACAGCCCGACGGACTCCACGTCAGGGTTTCCAGTATTACCCTCCCACAGTGACAGCCAGAAGAGAGCCGCAGGGAGGGTGTGGGTTAGACTTAGACTCCCTGAGAAGGTGAGGCTCAGGCATCCATCTTGAGAAACCAGACCTGGCAAGTGTGGCTTTCAGAGAGGGATAGATCTGAAAGGGCTGGCATTAAGTTCGGCAGTCTGCTTGAACCCCAACCAGTGGTCTAAATGTTTTCTCCATCCAGCATTGTGAGCAAGGGCACACCTTCTCTTGGACGGCTGACATCATCTGGGATGTACAGATAGGAGCCTCTGGAGCGAGTTGGGGGACATCTCACAAACCCACAGGCCATACACTGGGAATTTAGCAAGCACAAGGACCCAAGTTTGATCCCCGGTACCAGACAAACGAACAAAAAACCAAATCCACAGGCCAGAAAGCTAAGCAGAGAAAATCATGACTTGCTGAATTCTAAGACTGCAGATCCTAAAAAGAAACCTCTCATTTAAAAATACCGGGTATTTTTTTTGTTTTCTGATTTAATTTTTTTCTTTCTTTTTCTTTGAGCTTTGGGGTTTTTCCTCCTTTTAATATATTTTCCTCTTTTTTCTTTTCTGCTACTTTAGATAATATTATTGATTTCCTCAATAGAATCCTTTATCTTACTTATTTCTCCTGCTTCTCATCTTCCATTGATTAGTTTTTCAGATTCTACTTGTTTCATTCTCTATGTTCCTGTCTCTTTTATCCTTACTTGTATAACCATTAAGCTTTATGAATCTTTATATAGTAAACCTCTATACTATTACTGTTTAATACTTCTGGGTTACTAGTGGAGGTATAGATGAAGCATTTAGTACATATTTATTGTATGTCAACACTTGGTTTGTCTTACTATTTATTTTTTATTAGTTTTATTGGTACATTTAATATATACAATATAATGACATTCATTGTTGGAAATTTATACCTTTACATAATCAGTCTTGGTTCTTATGTTTTTCCCCATCCTTCTACCCTCCCTTCAACCTTCCTTCCCTCCCAATCTACAAAGGTTTTGTTTCCATTATTTTTCATTTTCTCCTATTAATTCCATTCCCTTCTTTCCTTTCCCTTACCCTTTCTGTTTCCCCTCCCTCTTTGTCCCTTTTTTTCCTATTTCACATTATCTATTATACCTTTTAGTCCTTATTTACACTTTCAGCTTCTCATACTAGAAAAACAATTCGGTATTTGCACGTGTGTCCTATTTATATCATTTAGAGTATTGCCTCAATGTGCATCCATTTAGCTATAAATGTCTCTAATTTATCATTTTTTATGGCTGAAAACCACATTATCTAGTCTCCTGTTGATGGGCAGTTGGGCTGCTTTCAATTATTAGCTATCACAAACTGTGCCGCTATTAACATGTGTATGCATATATCACTGTGGGAGACATTTTTAATTCTTTATGGAAGATACCCAGAAGGGGAATAGCTGGGTCAAACAGGACCTCCAATCCTAGTTCTTTGAGGTATCTCCATACTGATTTTCACAGTGGCTACACCAGTCTACTCTCCCACCAGCAATGAAGCAGGGTTCCTCTTTCCCTACATCCCTGCCAGCATTTGTTATTGGTTGATTTCATGATAGGAGACATTCCTTCTGGGTTGAGGTGGAATCTCAGAGTTGTTTTCATTTGCATTTCTCGAATGACCAGGAATGTTAAACATTTTTTCATATGTTTGTTTGCTATTTCTACTTCTTCGTCTGAGAAGTGTCTGTTCATTTCAGATGCCCATTTTTGGATTGGGCCTTTAAATTTGGGAGGTCTGATTTTTTTAAGTTCTTTATATATTCTAGATAGTAGACCTTTGTCTGAGGAAGAGCTGGTGAAAATTTTGTCCCACATTTTGGGTTGTCACTTCACACTGCTGGTTGTTTCTCTTGCTATGCAGAAGTTTTTTAATAAGAGGACATTCCACTTGTGCTAGCTCATGGGCAACTGAGATTTTGTTCATAAAATCTTTTCCTACACCAGTGTCTTCAAGAGTTCTACCTGACTTCTCTTCCAGCCTATTTAGTGTTTCTGTTTTAATATTTAGATCTTTAATCCATTTTGATTTTAGTTTAGTGCATGGTGAGAGATATAGGTCTCGTTATTATCTTTGGCAAATTGAAACTCAGTTTTTCCAGCACCATTTATTAAAGAGGCTATGTTTCCTCCAGTGAGAGTGTTTGGCTCCTTTGTCAAAGATGAGGTGGCTAAGTGTGTCTGGACTTGTTTCTGCATCTTCTAATCGGTTCCACTGGTCCTCAGGTCTGTTTCTTTGCCGGTACCATGCTGTTTTTATCACAGTAGCTTTGTAGTATAGTTTCAAGCTTGGGATTGTGATACCCACTAACTTCTCTTTATTGCCTAAAATTGCTTTTGCTAATAATCTGTCTCTTCTTGTTCCAAATGAATTTTTGGATTGTTTTCTCAAGGTCTGTGAAACATGCCGCTGGGATTTCTTGGGATTGCATTGACTCTATATAGCAGTTTTGGAAGTATGGGCATTTTCACTATATTGATTCTTCCTACCCAGGAGCAAGAGATGCCTTTCCATTTTCTGATATCCTCTTCAATCTCTTTTCAGATGCTGTAGTTTTCAGAGTAGAAGTCTTTGATTTCTTTCATTAAGTTAATTCCTAGGTATTTCAGTTTTTTGGATGCTATTGTGAAAGGAATTGACTGCCCCATTTCTCTCTTAGTGAGTCTGTTTTCTATTTACAGAGAAGCTATTAAGTTTTGTGTGTTGACCTTGTATCAAGCTACTTTGCTGAATTTGGTTATTAAGTCTAGAAGACTTTTGGTGGAGTTTTTGGGGTCTTCTTTATAGAGTATCATGTCATCTGCAAATAATAATTTGACTTCTTCCTTTTCTATCTTTATTCCTTTTATTTCTTTCTCTTGTCTAATTGCTGTGGCTAATGTTTCCAGAACTATATTGAACAGGAGTGGTGATCATGGACATCCTTGTCTTGTTCCTGTTTTAGTTTTTTTTTTTCCTTTGGTATGGGGATTGAATTCGTGTCCTTGTGCTTGCAAGACAGGTGGCAGAACCGCTGAGCTAAATCTCTGGCCCACTTGTGGTTTCCCACTTGTGATCTCCAATTTCATTGTACTATGGTCTAATAATACACAGGGGAACACTTCAGTTCCTTTGCATTTACGTAGATGTGTTCTTTGAGCTAGTATGTGGTCTGTTTTGGAGAATGACCCATGTGCAGCTGAGAAGAGTATGTATTCTGATTTTGTGGGCTGGAACACTCTGTAAACATCTATTAAATTCATTTGTTCAAGAGTTTGAGTTCTGTTTCATTGTTCATTTTCTGTCTAGTTGACCTATCTGTTTGTGACACTGGGGTCTTGAGGTTCCCCGTTACTGTTGTATTAGTGCTTATTTGATTTTTCATGTCCATTAGTATTTTTTTGTTGTTGTTGTTGTCTTTTTTTTGGTACTGGGGATTGAACTTGGGTCCTTGCGCTTGCAAGGCAGGCACCTGAACCACTGAGCTAAATCCCCGGCCCCCTTAGTATTTTTTTATATAGTTGGGCACACTAGTGTTT